TACTACTACTACTACTCATACTCGTTTGACTACATCATCTCGTACTACTACTACAACTACAACTACTCTTACGACTACTACCAGATGTACTCGTACTACTATTTGTCCTACGACTACTAGAACTACTACCACTACTACTACTACTACTACTACTACTACTACTACTACTACTACTACTACTACTACTACTACTACTACCAATACTTATTTCTACTACCGCAACTTCCATACAGACCACTGCTCTAGTGACTGCCTCTGTTACTGAGGCAACTAGTGCGACGACGACGTTGACGACTACGTTTGCTACTACCGCTGATACTGGAAATAACACTACTACTACTACTACTACCACTACGACTACTACTACTACTACTACTACTACTACTACTACTACTACTACTCCTACTACCACTAGTACTACTACTTCTACCACTACTACTACTACTACTACTACTACTACTACTACTACTACTACTACTACTACTACTACTACTACTACTACTACTACTACTACTACTACTACTACTACTACTACTACTACTACTACTACTACTACTACTACTACTACTACTACTACTACTACTACTACTACTACTACTACTACTGCTACTACCACTACCAGTACTACAACTGATCCTACTGGTACTACTTCTACTACTACGACTAGGAGCCGAAGAGGAGGAAGAGGAGGAGGGAGAGAAGGCGATGGGAGGCAAGACAGAAGGCGGTCGTTCCCAGTCCTACACGTAACCGACTCTGTCGACTCACACGACGGCGACGTCCTGGACCAGAATGCAGGTGGTGTGCGTCGTTGGGGCCCCTCGCCCTGGTGTGAGTCGTTCGGGCCCTTCCTTGTGTGAGTCGTTCGGGCCCCTCGCCGAACGACTCACACATCGAGGAGGGGCCCGAACGACTCTGACCAGGAGGGGGGACCCGAACTACTCACACCAGGAGGAGAGCACCGAACGAATCCACTGCACCGTGGTAGCGGCCACACCCACGGCTAAAACTGCCTGATATCCCAGTGTGGCAAAGTAGCGATACCACCCATTACTGATGCAGCGGTGTATCACAAGGTACTCCCAGTACTGGACGAGACACTATACACCATCTCAGCACACTGCCGGACATCCGAAGGAACCCCGCAATCACCAATAATAAAAGGCAATAGCGGCGAGTACACTAACCAGCACCATCACCTGAGCAGAATAACAAGCACCAGTACAGAATACAGAAACCAGTACCAGCGAACCCACGAACAGAAACCCAATTGAGGCAACATCCCGTCTCCCCACTCGCTCTCCCCAGAGTCATAGTGGTAAGAAGTGCACTCGACAGTCGTGCAATACAGAACATACACCATCGGAGCCCAATGTCGTACGTGTTCCTCGAACGAAGTCATACGGGCGTCCTAGAACGCGTGGTTCTCTTCCCTAGGCGTCTCGCCGAACGACTCCGAGAACGAGGAGGGGCCCGCGCGCTTCATGCCAGGAAGGGAAGCTCGAAGGACTCTCAGAAAGAGGAGGGCGCCGAACAAATCCACTGAACCCAATGAACGCCCACACCCATTCATGCAACTGCCTGAGCTCCACAGAAGCACCACTCATGGCAGATTGCGCATCGTATCCAAACGTCATCTCACCAATGACCCATCACTGAGTACAGAAACCCGCACTCCCACCAGAACAGGGTAACCAGCACCATCCCGGAGTACACTACTCAACACCAACGGCCAACGAAGTCTACGCGCCAACGGGCGTCCTGGTCGGTGAACGGGTTCATGCTGCACACATGGAAATACAAACTCGTGCCTACCTGAACGACGAATTTCCTCATGCAATTAAGGTCACCGCTGCCATCCTGCATCTGCTTCTTCGTAATGAGAGCGAATCTGACCGCGACAGCCTGCTTCGTGAACACTATTGCTCTGACGGCGTTCAGGTTCATGTGCAGAACTAGCTCTGGCGGCAAGCACTCCGCCATGTATGCTGGGCGACAGCAGTACGGCGACGATCGGACCTTGCCACAAAAAGGAGGCATGATCACCGACTCCTCGCCCTCCTCGCTCCAAGGAACCCCTTATGCTAGCCTAAGCATCAGGGCGTACCAGCACCTCTCCATGCCGACAGCAAGGAAACCTGGAGAAAGAGGCTTCTACTCATGGGCGGAACTAAGCTCACAGCCGAACCGCAATTCTGTAAGCCAAATGGCAATAGCGACGACAACGCTGGGGCACTCCTGGGCGCTCCTTAGCCTTCGGCGTCTTGGCCCGAACCACTCACGTGAAAACCTGCGTGACCGCGCGACAAGAACTCCGAGAAGAAAAAGGAGGAAGCAGACGAAGAGCGGAACGACCGATTTCAATTCTACCAGAGGTCACGACTCATTGCATGACGATCCCAAACGTCTCACACACACGGAAAGGCCCGACCGACTCCCACTAGCCCCAGTAGCCCGAACTGGTCACGCCGCGAAAAATCTGGTCGACTCACACACACGGACGAACCCGAACGACTCTCACCAGGACGACGGGCCTGGACGACGGACACCACGACGAGCCTGAACGACTCACACGCAAGGAACAGGCCCGAACGACTCACAGCAGGACGAAAAGCCCGAACGACTCACACAACGAACAGCCCAAATGTGTCGCCGACCACAACACGCGCCAACCACTCACAAACAATGAGAAGGCCGAAGAACTCACACCGAGGCGCGGCGCCCGAACCTGCAACACCCCGAGAATCTCGAGAGACTCTTACACAGGGAAGGGCCCCAACGACGAACGCCGGGACGAACGGCCCCAGGGACGCACAAAACATTCGTGAAGCAGAACACGCGAACGAACGGGCCGAACGACTCCTAGAACACGTCCCAGCAAAACAAGAAACCCGAACGAGGGATCGTAGGCCGCCCATGAAGCCAAACGTAGAAAATCGTCGAGATACTCCTCGACAGGAACGAACGCGGCAGCAGCGAAAGACGGCAGCCCCGAGCGAGCGGCAGGGTCGTCGACGTCGTCGTTGTCGTCGACGTCGTCGCCGGGGAGTACTGGCTCGAACACCAAACTTGGAGAAGATCGCAAACGATTCCACAGGACACCACACAAGCAACGCAACATGACATGTCTGAAACGTGGCACTCGATAATCGCCGACATATTGAAATGTCCATTATAAGCCGTGCTACACGTAGACACCCTGTGAGAACCCTGGAAGGTACCTGGAACTGCACCGAAGACAACCTTGTATAATACTATATCCTGACAATCGGGGAAACCTGCCACACGAGAGAACTACACCCCAGGCCCTTGGACACCCGGAAGCACGATACGCCTCGATCCACTACATGGACTGTGACGGGATACGCCGACAGTCATGTTGAGAGCCTCGAGCTCTTCCATACCTGCAAGACCTCTCAGCACACTGTACTCCTGCGCGATTACGAAGAGCGTTCTACCTAAATATACTATGTCCCGTCTTTCCATAAGGCAAAGCGAACCACTTCAGCCCACGCGTTGCGTAACGCTCCACGCGTCACCTGCGCGCGAGCGCGGCAGACGACACTTGGAACGTCGACTCCCAGACCTCCACATGTGCCTACTCAACATCCGCAGGAAAACTGGCGCACCACTCTTACTCTCTTGGGAAGAGGCAGAGGACAACGTTGAACTTCTGCGCATGTCTTTCTGTGCATTCTTGAGGTGTGTCGGACCGCCTTTGATTTATGCGTGCTTCTGTATTGAATACATGCGTGTATAGGTGTGGAGGGGAATCCATGGTCTGATGTCGCAATGACGATGGGTCGTGCCGAGAAAATCTCGAGTGGCGCGTCTCTGAGACATCTCGCGCTGACCGCCGTGCCTGCATGTCACCGAGCGCTAACCGCCACGACGACCTGCTGACGCGAACGCGGGGCAAATGAAGAAGAACATGACTCACATCAGATGCAAAAATGGAGATCTCGTAGCGGTGCTGGGCTACGTGCGGCATTTGCGCACACAAGCCACCTCGTGCCAAAAAAACACAGTAGGCGCGTGCGTTCGGGCCGCAAACCAAGTCACCATTGACGTGGTGGTCGTGGTCGTCGTCGTCGGCGCCGTCGTTGTCCTTTCGTCATCGTCGTCATCGTCATCGCCATCACATTCGAAGCCATGGGAAAGAAAATGCCGCGCGCCGACCGCACTGTGGAAGCTCAACATGAAGCGAGAGTGCTAGCAACCAATATTCTGCGCGCTCGCTTCCAGGAGCACCCGTGGCAAGCAAAAGTACAACAAAACACAGGCGCTTCTCCATGCCAACCGCAAAGATGATGCTAGTAGGCGAAAACTATTACGGGTAGGCGGAGCGAAGCTCACAGCCACACTCCAATACTAGAAGCCAGAGCGGCAGCGACAACAACGCTGGTCGGGAAAGATCGCTGACTTCGACGACGGCCGCCCTCTGTCTTGCCTCCCACCTCCTTCCCTCCCGCCTCCTCTTGCACCAGGGGAAAAGACACATGCTTGCACCAGAGAGCTGTCGGCATGCTTCGCTGGGGGCCCTCGTCGGCGATGGCACTACCACTACTGCGTCTACATTTACTACAGCGACTACTACGACTACTACGACGACTCCTACTATTACTACTCCAACTACTACTTCTACTGCTACTACGAAGTCTACTACAACTACTGCTGCTACTACTCATCGTACTACTGCTGCTCTGCCTCCTACTCCTACTACTACTACTACTACTATTGCGAGCACTACTCCTTCTACCACGACACCTACATCTACTGCCACTGAAACTTGTCGTGTCGCTACTACTGCTACTACTACTACTACCACTACACGGAAGCGAGAGGAAGGAGGAACAGGGGAGCGATGCGGAGCCCAGCGGACACACGCCTGACACACACCACTGTCGGCATGTTTCACAAGAGGTGCTGCTGTGAGATGGGCTGGTGGGGGTACGCGAAGCGTAAAGAATTAGATCCTCGACCTGGATCTGAGGAGCGGCCCGAAGAGCAGAGCACCTCTGGAACGCAAAGCGGAGGCATGCCCGTCCCGACCGTCTTCCCCTCATCCCTGCCCCTGTCTGATGCAGGGCCCTGTCCGGACAATGCAAGTCTCGCGGCTGGGCGTGGGCATCATCGATGGAGAGGGCCGCACCGCAGGCTGAGTAATTGAGACGGGCGTGAGAGTGGTGTCGTTGCAGGGGCGAGCCAGCGTCAGAACGACTGAACCGACTGTTTTAGTGAGCGAGCGAACGACTGAACAAGCGAGAACTTGAGGGCGAGCGGATGTTAGAGACAGAGAGGGAGAGAGAGCGAGAGTTGGAAAAGTGAGAGAAGGAGAGAGATGGGCAAACAGAGAGAGAGAGAGAGAGACAGAGACAGAGAGAGAGAGAGATAATTATAGAGTGTCAGGGGGAGAGAGAGAGAGAGAGAGAGAGAGAGAGAAAGAGAGATGGAGAAAACATATTCATCTGCATACAGATGTTTGGCGGAATAACGATTATATAAACGAAGGAGTGGTATGAGGAGGGCGATGGTGATCAGGACACTCCCTCGCACACTGAGCGCTGGCACACGCGAAGCGTATGCGTGCATGTCGGGTGGCAGCCCCTCGGTCCAAGTGTAACCATACATCCCGACGCCTGGATGGCAGCACGTGCGCGAATGCACGAACACGCGGGCGCACGTGACCAGGACGGACCGTCGCGCTTGCTGCATGACGGCCAGTCTCCGCCCCTGCGCCCTCGGGAGGAACCTCACGCCGCCAACGTCACGTCTGGACGCGGCTCGGAGAACGGGCCAGGAGGGATCGGGGACCTCCGACTCTGGCATGCAGCACATCGCACAAGCAGTGCCACAAGCTGATAGAACACAACGCCTCGTCGCCAGCATGGTAAAGAGAACCTACTGGGAGATCGCGGGTACATCAAGAGTGACCCCAAGAAGGGTGAGAGATGGCGAGTTGGAGAGGAGGCTCTTCAGACAATCCCTTAAATGGTGTCCTTGCTGTTGGACGCCGCAGCGGCGTTCCTGAGGCAAACAGCGCCGCTGGGGCTTCAACTCATCATCAAAACTCTTGAGATCGGTCAATTATCTGACATGCGCGGGTCATCCGCGTAGAGACGTTGTAGTCCCAATCGTCATATCAAACGCAACTGGTCAGAATCCCACGACTGAAATTATAATCAACTGCGCAAGTGAGCGTTCTCTTATTGGGCGGTTCGACATTGGGCAGAAGGGGGGGAGGGGAGGGGTCTGGCTGTCTGGACCTCTACTTAGTGCGGCTGTTTGCAGCAGTGCGTCCTAGGAGGGAGACTCCACCTGCTCGAAGCAGGCGCCCAAACAGCCAAGACCTGCTCCAGGAGGGGCGGGGGAGGGGGGGGGCGAGGGCCCGCGCCGATCGGCACAGCAATGGATAAGCAAACGACCAACAAACATTAACGTTCGGAGGTCGCCGCGCGAACATCTCGAATCGGCGCTCGACCCCCCCTCCCTGGCGCGCAGAGCGTGCCCAGGGCGGCGCTGGAGGCGCCGCCTGGAGGATCCAGCGCAGATCCAAGAGATGTGCTCGCGAACCTCCGAGCGTGCGGGTCCCGAAAAATATGCAGCACACCACCATCACCTCCATTCATCCCCCCTCCTCTACCCTCCCCTTCCTCTCTTTCCTGGGAAGAGGGAGCAGCCCCGAATTCGGCCCGACAAACCGATCGACTCTGCCCACAGGGAGCCGCAACTGTACAAACTGAAATGCGCGGGTCGTCCCCCAAAACATGGTTCACACATCTTCCTGAACAGCTTGTCTGTAAGGGTCCTACATCTTCCCCAAGCTGTGCTTGCACTCAACGGTTCTGACTTCTGACCTGGGGCTGAGCAACCGCCCGCCACTGGTGATATGTATATCCTCCGGTTTCTGATCAGGAACTGACCATCGCTCGGACGTCCATTCCCTGTGTTTTTTTGCTAAGTTTCGTGAGTGTTTTTCTTCGCCAAATGATCAAGGATGCTCGTCGATGGTCCTCGCCGAAGGAAAAAACGCACACGTCCGAGCGATACCAAGCATGGGAACGGCGCCAGGACGGCCTGAAGTGGCTCCGAGCCCGTGCAACTCCACTCCGCGGGACCTCCCAGGAGCCCACGAAAAAAGGGTGAGCATGGCGCACTTCGCAGCCCTCCAGGGAACCGCGACGTCCCCACTGGATCCCCGTGTGACTATACTCCGCAGGACCTCCCAGGAGCCCACGAGACATGCAGAGGACAGGACAGACGAAATATGAGGCAGCAGAAAGGAGGACGGGGAGGAGAGAAAAGGAGACGCGACCTCAGGGAGAAGGAAGAGACGGAAGAGGAGAGGGGAGGCAGGAACAGGAAGTAGGAAACAAGAGGAGGAAAAATGAAGCCGAGGAGGAGAAGACTCGACCACAATGCTCTATCCAAACGAGAACCCAACTGAGGAGGGTTGGGAATTAGCCTGGCGAAGGACCCAACCATATGCAGTTGTGAATGCCGCAATTGTGCTGGGTGGTGGTGGACGCATGCGGGCGGTGCCACTGGGACCTTCGGTGGAGCTCCCTATGGGGCCACGAAGCGCTGTACTGGGTGGGTGAGACGCGGTCAGCAAGGGCTGTGCTGCGTGGTGGCGGACGCATGCGAGCGGTGCCACTGGGACCTTCGGTGGAGCTCCCTATGGGGCCACGAAACGCTGTACTGGGTGGGTGAAACGCAGGCAGGGAGCAAGGGCTGCGCAGGGTGGTGGCGGACGCATGCGGGCGGTGCCGCTGGGACCTTTGGTGGAGCTCCCTATAGGGCTACGAAGCGCTGTTCTGGGTGGGTGAAGCGCAGGGAACAAGGGCTGTGCTGGGTGGTGGCGGACGCAAGCGGGCAGTGCCACTGGGACCTTTGGTGGAGCCCCCTATGGGGCCACGAAACGTGCGAGGGGTGTGCCAGAATGGGGTGTGGAACCGCATGCCAGCGCAGCCACTGGGGCCTTCGGTGGAGCTCCCTATGGAGCCACGAAACGTGTGAGGGGTGTGCCGAAATGGGGGGTGGAACCGCATGCGAGCGCAGCCATTGCGGCGTTCGGTGGAGCTCCCTATGGGGCCACGAGACGTGTGAAGGGCGTGCCGAAAAAGGGGGTGGAACCGCATGCGAGCGCAACCACTGGGGCCTTCGGTGGAGCTCGCTATTATGGGCCACGAACCGTGTGAGGGGTGTGCCGAAATACGGGGGGGGAACCACATGCGAGCGCAGCCACTGGGGCGTTCGGTGGAGCTCCCCATGGAGCCACCCACGGAGCGTGTGAGGGGTGTGCCAAAAGGGGGGGTGGAACCGCATGCGCAGCCACTGGAGCTTCGGTGGATAGAACCACATGCGGCGCAGCCACTGGGGCGTTCGGTGGAGCTCCCTATGGGCCACCCAAGCGTGTGAGGGGTGTGCCAAAAGGGGGGGTGGAACCGCATGCGAGCGCAGCCACTGGAGCTTCGGTGGATCTCCCTATGGGGCCACGAAACGTGTGAGGGGTGTGCCACGCAAACTGGGGTGCTCCCTATGGGGCCACGAAGGGGTGTGCCCGTGGCATTGGGGTGGACCGCCACATGCGGGGGTGGCGCAGCCACTGGGGCCTTCGGTGGAGCTCCCTATGGGGCCACGAAACGTGTGAGGGGTGTGCCAAATGGGGGTGGAACCGCATGCGGGCGCAGCCACTGGGGCCTTCGGTGGAGCTCCCTATGGGGCCACGAAACGTGTGAGGGGTGTGCCAGAATGGGGGGTGGAACCGCATGCGGGCGCAGCCACTGGGCCTTCGGTGGAGCTCCCTATGGGGCCACGAAACGTGTGAGGGGTGTGCCAGAATGGGGGGTGGAACCGCATGCGGGCGCAGCCACTGGGGCCTTCGGTGGAGCTCCCTATGGGGCCACGAAACGTGTGAGGGGTGTGCCAGAATGGGGGGTGGAACCGCATGCGGGCGCAGCCACTGGGGCCTTCGGTGGAGCTCCCTATGGGGCCACGAAACGTGTGAGGGGTGTGCCAGAATGGGGGGTGGAACCGCATGCGGGCGCAGCCACTGGGGCCTTCGGTGGAGCTCCCTATGGGGCCACGAAACGTGTGAGGGGTGTGCCAGAATGGGGGGTGGAACCGCATGCGGGCGCAGCCACTGGGGCCTTCGGTGGAGCTCCCTATGGGGCCACGAAACGTGTGAGGGGTGTGCCAGAATGGGGGGTGGAACCGCATGCGGGCGCAGCCACTGGGGCCTTCGGTGGAGCTCCCTATGGGGCCACGAAACGTGTGAGGGGTGTGCCAGAATGGGGGGTGGAACCGCATGCGGGCGCAGCCACTGGGGCCTTCGGTGGAGCTCCCTATGGGGCCACGAAACGTGTGAGGGGTGTGCCAGAATGGGGGGTGGAACCGCATGCGGGCGCAGCCACTGGGGCCTTCGGTGGAGCTCCCTATGGGGCCACGAAACGTGTGAGGGGTGTGCCAGAATGGGGGGTGGAACCGCATGCGGGCGCAGCCACTGGGGCCTTCGGTGGAGCTCCCTATGGGGCCACGAAACGTGTGAGGGGTGTGCCAGAATGGGTGTGGGAGGGGGAGGAGGGGGGAGGAAGGGAAGGAGGAGGAAGGAGGAGGAGGAAGGAACGCGGGGCGACGTCTCTTCAAAACGAGGACCCAACACCACAGGATGGTTGGGAAAAACAACTCAGCTCAGGATGAAAAGACGGCCCCGGGAAGAGGCCCAGACTTCCGAGGACACAGTCTTGGAGGGCGTGCTGCTGCTGCTGCCTCAAGCAAGTTTACTTGCATGGCATTCTCCGCCCCCACACCCCACACCCCACCCCTCCCTCCGTCGCCGAAAGGGCGTGCAAGTGAGTCCCGACTTGCGTGAAGTCCAGACGTTCTTTAGGGCGTCGCCCCCTTCCCCCCCCCCGTGGAAGCGGCCCGAGGGTGTTGCGGGCGAACCTTACAAGTTCTTCGAGCCGCGTCCAGTCGTGGCCACGAGAGGGGCCCTTGATATGTTCAGTGGAAAATATGCTCCAGAAGTATCCCTGGACAAACCCCAGGACAAGCTACACAACCCCTCCATAATGCATACCGTCAGCGCCCCAACACGGTAATGACATGCGCACGTGCTGGCAAGACACCGCGGCGCGGACAACCCCTTGGACAACCCCGCAAGGATCCTGACACCCCCCCTTGGACAAGCCTCCCCAGGGTTGTAGAAGGGGCCCTGAGACACACAAATGAATAGACACAAATAACAGGATTCCCCATACTTTCACATATTTTCTGGGTTTTTATCTTCCCCCCACTTCGCATATTTCCCCGCATTTTCCCTGGGATCGACGATTAACTGTGTCTGTGTGCTTTCTTCCCCTCCTGAAGTGTTTCCATTCGATCTAGTAGCCCTTCTGCTGGCCAGCACCATGGTGGGCAGCCTCAGCCCTGGCCCCCCAAGCCGGCTCCGGCCCTCCTCGACATGCCAGCAGCCCTGCCAGAGCAGAAGCACACCGGCCCCCGTGGCGCAAGCAGACGAGACATCGGGGGGGGGGGTCGGGTCGGGCGAAGGGGGGGGGATGGCAGAGGGGGGGTTCGAGAATCAGCTCACGCAGCTGATTTTCCCAGCGCCTCCCGGCGCCGGGAGGCGCCCATGTATCGAGGACTGGGCCCCTCGGTGGACCCGAACTCCTCCCTTTCCCTATCCCCCCTTTCGTAACCCCCCCTTTCCTTGTTTCGTCCCCCCCCCTTGCGTAACCCCCCCTTTCCCTATCCCTCCTTGCGTAACCCCCCTTTTCGTAACCCCCCTTTTCGTAATCCCCCTTTCCCTATCCCCCCTTTAGTAACCCACTGCGTGCAGCAGATTTCGTCCCCCCCCTTGCCCTATGCCCCCCTTTCGTTCGGCCCGAGGGGGGCGCACCGCGCGGAGGGAGAAACGAACCCCCGAGCAGGGCAGCACGCACCACGAGCCTACGCCTGCGCCGATTCGGCGGCTCAGGCGAAGGGCGCCTTGGCGGCGCGCAGAGGGGGGGTAGGGGGAGGAGGGAAGGCTTCTTGGAATTGAGCAGGGACCGACCGTCGCGGCATTCCTGTAGGCCTACCACGGCATGTTCTCGGAACCCAGACACGGTCTAAGAACGAAACCCATGCTGTTATGACATACATCCGATGTGTGAAAACACAACAGTCCCAACCAGAAATGTTCTAGAACATTTCGCCTACAAACCACAACAGGTTCTTAGAACATTATTTGGTAGGCCTATAGGCGAGCCAGGAAGCTTCGCCACTGCTTGGTAGAAGCACCCTCCTTCTTAGAAGGCGCCGCCTACATGTATAGAGAGGGCCCGCGCCTTCTAAGAAGCAGGGGTGCTTCGATGAAGCCTTCCACCTCCCCCTACCCTCCTATGCGCGTCGCCGATGAAGGGCGCTTGAGATCCGCACCGAAGCACGGGCTTGGTGAAGGGCTCAGCCCACGAGGTCGAGGAAGACAAATCAACATCGAATGGGGAAATCGGATTGGATCGGAATGTGCGCGGATCGGATCTCATAGGCACGGAGTCCGAATCGGATCGGATTGGCCGCGCCAAAATGCACGACAATGCCATGCAAACATCGGGACGCACCGGAACTTCAGAATATCGGAATCGGATCGGATCGAGCCGGACGAAACCGATATCAAATCTGAGCGGTCGGACGAAATGGACCTTGCTGAGTAGGGGGGGGGGAGGTCCAGATCGGGTCGGGGCCCCTGGGTCTTTGCCGAAGCAGTTTTGCACTCGACGAGGGAGGCAGTAGGAGCGAGAAGGCGACGAAGAGAGCACAGAGCATAATGATATGCGAGGTGGAGGGCCGAGCAGGAGATCGCCTACCATATTGATTGCCCCAGACAGTGATGTGAACACACAAACCTAGAAGGAATTATGTCTTTTTGCTAGCGTCGAAACATGTGAAACAGGGACACGCTTCTCATCCTGGGTAGTTTCCTGACTGCCCCCTGGGCCCTGCGATGGCCCCCCGGACAGAAGACGGCCCGAAGCCTTCCGACATGATGTTTGCCACTACGCGAGGAGCTGAGGACCCTCCTTATCCTCTTCCTATTCCCTATTCCCTATTCCTCCTCCTCCTCCTCCTCCTCCTCCTGCTGACTCTATTCGTCCTCCTCGCGGCCTCCCTCCTCCCTCCGCGTCACTTGACAATGAAACCTCAGGGCTCCATTAACGGGGTCTCTGTCGAAGCGGGACGCTGGCACACCCACGAAGTCGGTTGCGCCGAGGATCAACAGCAATCTCCACTATTCGTTCGCTCCAGCTGGATGTTGCGAAAGTCAGTGTTGGCGAAAGGCTTCGGCCTGCGCACAAATAGCTCTCTCTCTCCCCAGGCAGTTCCTGCCGCCCTCAGCAGGCCCCCTGGTTAGGTAGCCCACAGCAGTCTCAACATCCCAACCCTGGGGCGCGGAACACCCCCAAAGCGCCGATTCAGGCGGCGCCAGGGTGTTGAGACAACTCTGGACTACGTGGGAGGCCTGTTGCGGCCAGCCATGAACCAGGAGTATCGTGGCGGGTTGTCCGTGCGCGACGAGAGGGTTCCATGTATACAACTTCGGACAAGTCTTTACCCAAGAGGGGGGAGGGGTTGGGGCCCTCGACAACGGAAACGCTTTGGCGGGGTGTGGTACGTCGGGGAGGGGGTGCGCTGCGACAAACACAGTTTACGCGCGAACACCAATATGTGAGAAAGGGGGATCCCCCCCCATGCCCATGCAGGACCGCTACCGTCACCCAGGTTGGGGGCTGGGGCGAGACGGTGTTTGGCCCAGGGCACGCCAAACGCCAAAGGATAAACCAGAGTCTCGGCTCGAAGCCTCACCAGTCGTGGTCTGCAGTGTCCCGGCTTCCAGGCCCCCGAATGCTCCTCCTCCTCCTCCTCCTCGTCCTCGTCCTCGTCGCCGTCGTCGTCCTCCCCTCCTCCTCCTCCTCCTCCTCCTCCTCCTCCTCCTCCTCCTCCTCCTCCTCCTCCTTCTTGTCCTCGTCGCCGTCGTCGTCCTCCTCCTCCTCGTCCTTGTCCTCGTCGCCGTCGTCGTCCTCCTCCTCCTCCGCGCCCAGCGGGGCCGCAGGGCTCCTGGCGTCCTCCGCGCGCTTCTCGCGGTTGATCCGCATCGCCTCCGCGGGAGGCCCGGAGGCCCAGTTCTCTCCCCCTTCCGGGGGAGGGAGGGGGTTTGAGAGGGCAGGGGGGGGCGCGAGCAGGGACGGCTGGGAGGACTGGGCGGGGGGGGGGGGCGAGGGAAGCACGGCGAGGGGGCGAGGCTGAGGAGGACGAGAAGGGGGAGGAGCGCGAGGATGGGGGCCAAGAGCCTGCCGTTCCCCTCCGGGGGGGGGGGAGGTCGCGTCTCTCGCCCCCCCGCTCCTGATTTCGACCCTCCCTCGTTGGAAATAAATTGGGCTTCCGCCCGCCCCCTGAAATTGGATCGAACAAGGAAGGCACTCATAGAGAATTGGGATCCGGGAATCCAAAAATACCTACTTTCAACAACCGACGAACCGGACCCCCAGCTCCACTGCACCCCCGGCTCCCTGGCCCCCAGACGCCCCCCAAAAAAGCCCGACGACGACGCACACAAAGCCCTCAGCTCAGGGCCTTGCCAAACGCAAAATGTTAGAATTCACAAAACCCGCACGAGGCAGAACTCGGCCCAATCCCTGGAGAAACTCTTTCGCTCTGGCGCACGGAGCGCCGTTGTGGACCTCCCAAGGAGCTTGCAAGATGGCCCGAAGCCAGGCCGCCAAGAGGGTCTCAATACGGTCCCAAAGGCAACCAAAACGATACAAAAAGGCCCCAGGAGGGTCCCAAAAGGCTGTGAGAGAGCCGACTTGAGCTCACACTTCGAGGCTTCTGCCTCGGGTTCACCCCAAGATGCCCCGAACAAAAAAAAACCCTGGGACGCTCCAAGTCGCCTCCAGGAGGCCCAACGCGCGCCCTGAAAATACCCCGAAGAGGCACCCAGAGCCTTCTGAACGGCTCTTCGAAGACCCTGGACTGGCTTCTGAGAGACTTCTCAAGAGACGCCCCAATATAATCCAACACGCCTCTGGTCCGCAATTTTGAATGCCCCTGATCGGCTCCCGCAGCGCGCACACTGCTGTTGAAAGTGACCACAAAGGCCCCGACTCGCCCCACGACGGGTTCTTGCAGTCTCCATCGTGTCCAACTCACCCAGACGGGGGTCCAGAAAATTAACAGGGGCCCCCCAACATGGGCCAACGCGGCTCGAAGATGGCTTCAAGGAAGCCCCAAGCCCCAGAACGCCCAAAGACGGGCCCGTGGATGGCAGGTGCTCTTTTTGTTGGGGAAGCGTCTGGAACAAGGTGCATGGCGCGACGTGCCAATGCAGCCTTGATTTTTACGCACGTGCATATATACACACATACATGTATACATACATTCACAAATATGTATATAATTATATACGTACATATATATATATATATATATACACAAACACCTGTATTACATCACTCCTCTTCCTCAACCGACGACGTCCTGGAGGCTTCAGACCACAAAACGTCCAAGAGCTCGATTCTGTTCTGCCCTCGATCCTAGATCCTCAAACGACGACGACACCGCTGCCGACGCCGGCGCCCCGACGCCGACACCGACCCTGATGTTGACGCTGACGCTGACGCTGACGACGAGGACGACGAGGACGACGAGGACGACGCGGACGACGACGAGGACGACGACGACGACGACGATCCCCAGCCAGCGGCGCACGGGCACCTCACGGAGTCCCTCCCTCTCCTCGTCGGTGGCGTTCTGGTACATGTCCGCGATCAGCTGCTCCGTCGAGGCGTCTGCGCGGCCGCCGGGCGGGCAGGCGGCAGGCGCGCCGCAGGAGCGCGCGCCCGCCGCAGGCAGCTCGGGCCTGCGCAGAGGAGGAGGAGGAGGAGGAGGAGGAGGAGGAGGAGGAGGAGGAGGAGGAGGAGGAGGAGGAGGGAGGAGGAGGAGGAGGAGGAGCGCCGCTCCGGCTGGCCACCTTCGGCCTCTCTGGGCGGCGGCGGGCGGCGCACGGAGCGGCCTTCCAGGCCTCGGCGGGGCCCCGCCGCCTCGGGCGGCGGCCGCACGCACGGGGAGCGAAGGATGGCGGGGGCCCGCCGCTTGCCCCACCGCTGGCATGTCGGGAGACTCTCCATGGGGGGGGGATTCCATGGGGGGGCAGGAGGGGATCCCCCCCATGGGATCCCCTCCTGCCCCCCCCCCCATGGGATCCCCAGGGGATCCTATGGGATCCCCCCCCCCTGGGATCCTATCCCCCCATGGGATCCCCCCCCCCATGAAGAGTCTCCCGAGCATGGGCGAACGCTGGGGGGCCACAGGCGAACCCTACCCCTACCCCCCCACGATTTCCGAGGAGGAGGGTGGGGTTCACTTCGCTCGGGAGAGCCCCCGGTCGAAGGGAACCCCACCCTCCCCCTCAGAAAATCGTGGGGGGTAGGGGTAGGGCTCGCACGTTGCCCCCTGAACGCACGAACGGGCGTGGCCCCGCAATGCACGCGCGGGCCGCAAGCCGCCAGGGGCTGCGCCACAAGCTGGGCTGCGCCATCCACGCGTGCGTCGCGTGTGTCCGCCACAGGCTGCGCCACTGGGGGCAACCAAAAGTAGAGGCCTCCTAGATGGGTCGGGGTAGATGGGGTTGGAGATCGCGCCGCATCGCCGATGCATCGCCGATGCATAGGCGATGCAGTGGCGATGTATTGGCGATGCGTCGGCGATGTCGGCGATGCATCGTCGACGCCCGCGCGAAGACAATCGGGCTCCACATCGAGCCGCATCGACAATGCGTCCAATGCGTCGGCGATGCGACGCGATCCTCCGACCCCATCTACGTGGACCCCATCTAGGAGGCCTAGAAAGATAACGATACCGCCATTCCCCCGACCTCTCCCAAGGTTTTCTGGAAAGAATCTCGGGGCGAATCTTGCCCTGGCGACGAGGGCCTGCCAGGAGGCCCTCCAAAGGCGAACACGAGAGCGGGTAGTGGTATCCGTACCTGTCCCTCTCCTCTGAGCCACAAGTTGTGCCGTTGGTTTTGCTACACATTAGCTTGTGCCGCAGTATGCCACATGGGCTGCGCCACAGGATTCGTCATTCATGATTTGAGCCATAGACGGGGCGCCGTTGGCTGCGCCATCAACCGCCGAACTTGTTGAGCGGCCTGCTGCTGGTTGTGCCATGGGCTGCTCCACCAACCACCGAACATGGAACTTCCTGCTAACGGGTGCTCCCCGTAGGTTGCGCCGTCGGCGGCCGAACAAAAAATTATGTGTTCCCGATTGCGCAATCGGTTTCGCCAGTGGCGGTCCCATACAACTGGGTGCAATCAATATACAAGTCGCTTGATACAAAAAACAACTCAACACGCCCACTCAAAACAAAGCCGCGCGAATCACGCCTGGAAGCCCCAGCCTTCAAACGCCTAAGACCTCTGACTAGTCCCCAATGTGGGCCTCTGGAAGCCCCGCTCCGGCAGCTTAGTTGCACCGAAATGCACGAAGAGCGCCAAGTGGGAATACCCAAGAAACGTAGACCCGCTTCCAAAGCCAAAGCGGATATGATTGCAGCGCTCTGACTGTATGCGCTGAGGCTCTGCACGCAGTGGGGTAGCTCGCCGCCGTGAAGAGCACGATGGCAGCCTTCTCCTTCTCACTCCCCCCCTCGCTCGCCGCCGAATCTGGAAGGAGAGGGGTAGAGCAGCAGCCAGATGGCGCCGCAGCCAGAAAAGGCCGGACCCCCTCCTCCTCCTCCTCCTCCTCCTCCTCCTCCTCCTCCTCCGCCTCCTCCTCCTTCCCCTTCTCAGCTTCAGCCTCCTCCTCCTCCTCCTCAGCCTTTCTAAGCCTTCCCCGAAGACATAACAAAAACATCTCAGGAGGCCGAATGCGTTTTGAGAGGGCGGGCCGCCTTCTGGGACGGCCTTCTCCTTCTCCCTTCCCCCCTCGGTCGCCGCCGAATGTCGATCCTTGATTCTCCTGCGATGTCTGGACAAAATTTGGCCGATTCGTTCAAAACCGGTCCAGGGACCCATTGCAGACGCCGTGCTGGCCAGCTCCTCGAGCCGTGTCCACCCGTGGCAACGATTGAGGCCTCCTAGATGGGGTCGGAGTAGATGGGGTCGGAGGACCGCGCCGCATCGCCGATACATCGGCGATACATCGGCGATGCATCGGCGATGCATCAGCGATGCACCGGCGATGGGGCGTCGACGTCGGTGATGTATCGGCGACGCCGGCGTGGGGAAAATCGGGCTCCGCATCGAGCCGCATCGTCGATGCATCGGCGATGCGGCGCGACCCTCTGGCCCTATATACTCCGACCCCATCTAAGAGGTCTAGAAATGAGGGTCTCTGGAAACGCCCCCAGCAAACGCGCAAACGAAGACGCCGACCAGTCCGATCGGCCAAGCGCGTGGGCCCCACCCAGCGCCGAGGGCCTTTCAGGTCGCCTTTCTCGATCCTGTAGGCACGCCTCTGCTTGTACTGGTCCTTCTCGTCCGTCAGGTCGCTCCACTGGAGCCCCTGCTCGGCCTGGGGGTGGGTCGAGCTGCCGGGGGGGGGAGGGGGGAGGGGAGGGAGTGGCGGGCAGGGCGGAGGACCGAATGGGGAGGGTTGAGGATCGCACGCCACTGAGGGAAGAGAGAGAGAGTCAGAAGCCAAGCGAAGGCTGGCAAACCCGTAAACGGAGCTCCGGGGAAATTGTTGTTGATTTCTTCCGGGAAGCAGACCGTTCACTGCTTAGCGCGCTGAATTTTCACTACGGGAATATGTTTCTTTCTTCCGGAAAGACCGTTTTGGCATCCGCGGATTTGCCAGCCCTTGCCCAGATTCCGAGAGAGAGAGAGAGGAGAGTCGGACTGTTCAGCCACACAGCTCCAGGTGGGGGCCATCGGAGAGGACCTCTTCGTCACCAGGGTGCGCCTCGGAATGATTAGGCCGCACACCGCGGACCGGCGGCAGTGTCCCCCGCCCCGAGGAGAAAGCACAGGGGGGAGGATGGAGGAGGGGAGGGGGAGAAGGAGGCAGGAGGAGGAGCAGGGGGCCAGAGAGAAGCAGGGATGCACGCGCGATGCTGCAATATGCCCTCCCGTCCCAGGTTTCCTCCCCGCGCGCCCGTGCAGGTCCCCCTTGTCACTGCCAGACACGCCCCCCTTGAACTACCAACACAGGTGTGCCTGTTAGTTTGGTGAGGGCCCCGCTTTCAAAAGGAGAAGCTTTGAATCGTCCTGGTGCGCAAGCAAGGGCTCGAAGACATTCCCAGACAGATCAACAAGGAAACCAACGAGACATCTCAATCGAAAAGAGGCGTCTCCCCCCATCACCCACCATCAATGCAACCGTTGCACACGCTTACAACAGTGGCAATGGCCTTCGAAGAGCTGTCCACCGACAGGTCCATGTTGGAAACGAGCCGCCATGGATCCGCGAAGTCCCACGTGCGTTGTAGCTCCGAGCGTTTAAGCTTGGCGGAGCCTCAGGGGACAGCTCCATGTTGAACGCAAGGAACCCTCTGTCTTGCGAAATGTTGAAATGCCAGAAATAGATTGTTTTCCGAGCCAGAGCAATCCTCGCGGCCATGCTTGGTTAATCTACCCTCTGGTGTGATGTGGTCTGGTCACAACGAAAGCTGCCAGGACACTAGGACCAGGCGCCTTGGCTGCTGGGCTTTGCTGGGTTTGGAATCACAAACAGAACAAAAACACACTGCGTAAGCATGATCTTTTGGCGCTCCGCGCGGAATTCTTGGATCTGAGCTGGACCCCCCTACCAGGCGCGCGGAGCGCGCCAGGGGCGGCGCCGCGCCAGGCGCCGCTGGGGGGCCCTGGCGCGGATCCAAGACGTCCGCACGGATTCAAGAGAGCCGCGCGGAGCGCAAACAAAAAAAATGTCCACGCTCCTGTATTTCTGCGGGCAAACATGAAAGGGGCCCGGGGACACGCAAATAAATACACACACGCAGACAAATAACCAGATTCCCCATAGTTCCCTGTTTTTCCTGGGTGTTTTGTCTCCCCCCCCCACACTTCCTTTTTTTGCAATATTTTCTCTGGAAATCGACGATGAATTGTCTGTGTCTTTTTCCGCTCTTGAAAACAAAATCGCGCGACACTCTGGCGAGAGCCCCCGCACCCTCCCAGCAGATCGTGGCGCGGGGGCTTGGGCAGGGGATGACGCGGAGGAAGGGGGAGGGGGAGGGAGGGAGTCTAAGGAGGGGAGGGAGGGACGGCCTGGAGGCGCCCCAAGAGGGCCCCAACTTGGCCCAGAGAGGACCCCAGGGCGGTTTCCGACGAGCCAGGCACGCCCTCAGAAGGCCAAACAGTCTCCAAAGGAGCCTCCAAAGAGGATCGGGGTCGGTTAAACGATACCGAGGCGGGAATCCGGGAGCACGTCCGAAAACTGTTTCGCGTCGGCGGCTACAGGCAAAAGGTGACTGCGCTGGCGATGTGAGGCTTCAACGGGGATGCCATTGGAGCGAATTGTGCCATCATGCAAGAGGAGGAGGGCAAAACTCGCCCGAAAACACATCGGACCTCGATTCCGAGAACGTCGCCCACCCTCTCTGTGGCAACTCCCGACAGCCTCCCACATATTGTCGGCTCTCGCGAATCGACGCTGAACGACGCTAGTGGACGCTGACCAGCGCTAGATCGGCGCTGTCTCATCGACGCCTAGACGCTGTTCGAAGCTGAAGACGGAATTCAGAGGGCATATCAAGCTCCCACGATTTGCTACCCAAGAACCTAGATTCCGAGAACGTCGCCCACCCTGATAGGGGGAGACGTAAGATTCGGCTTCGGGGGCTCGGGTTGGCTTGGCGGGGCCATCGTGAAGACGACAAGACCCCGTCTAAACTATGGCGCGAACTCCTCCTCCTCCTCCTCCCCCTCCTCCTCCTCCTCCTCCTCCGCCTCCTCCTCCTCCTCCTCCTCCTCCTCCTCCTCCTCCCCCTCCTCCTCCTCCTCCTCCTCCCCCTCCTCCTCCTCCTCCCCCAGAATCCGGGGCGCGCTCGACTCCGAGAGAGCCGCCCCCCCTGACTTCAGCCAGCCTTCCGGAGCTTCAGCACAATCGTGTCCGTCTTCACGGCCCGCCTGCAGGCCGCGGTGTCGACGGCGTGGCAGAGGTTCGGGATCTTGAACCAGTGCTGCTTGCCTCCCAAAGGCTGCGGTGGCCGGCGGCGCGCAAGGAAGGCGCGGCTCGAGTCGTGCGCGAAACACATACAAAACGACGCCAAGATCGGGACAAAATCGGATCGGGATAAAGCGAAATCTCTGAGAATCGGCGGGTTTGGAGGACGTATTGGGCGCCGCGGCCGCTCCACTGGAGCGATTTATCCCGATCCTGGCCCTGTTTTAAGATATCCGTCCGTACCCGCGGCCTCGCGGGCCCGGTCCCTGCAACGCGACCCCGCGGATGGGGGACGTCTGTTTCGCGGACGCCCCGCGCGGCACGCATCCGCGCGGCCGCGCACCTGCACGAGCATTGCCAGCCCAGCATCCAGACCGCGAGGGCCCGGGAACGGAGCGGTCGGCATCGGATCGGAAAGTCTCGGGGGAAAGCAAGCCTGCCTCGCCTTTGGGCCACCCTCGCTTCCAAGAGACCCCAAACGATGCCAAGTCGGATCGAATCGGATCGACCAATCGAATCGGGCTGCTCCGCATCGGAATCGGCATCGAATCGGAGCGGCCGCGCCAGGATGCACAAACAGCGCCATGCAGGCACCCAGGCCGCGTCGGAGATCGCCGGAGCAGCGGAAGCAACTCGCATGCGGCCGGCCAGAACCGATGCCGGACGGGATCGATCGGATCGGGGCCGGCCCCGAATGTCGGGAGCGGCCAAGAGGGGGGTGTCCAAGAGGGGGGGTGCAAATCATGGCCGGCGGCATGTGCGCGGCCCAGCGGGGAAGCCGGGAACGTGATGGAATAAGAAGAGGCGCCATGAAATCTGGGGAGATATCATGGCCCCCGCCGTGATATCCCCCCCCCCTAGTCATCACCCCCCTCTTTTCCGCCCCCGAGAATGGGGGCATCTCGTGGCCTTGGCTGGGCGCGGTTGGATAAAATGGCCGGGGCGGGCCCTGGATCGGGGCCGCTTCTGTCCTGCTGGGGGGGAGGGCACCTGTGGGCGCTGGCAGAGGGAGAGGGGAGGGGGGGAGGAGGAGCTAGGTGAGCTCGCGTCATATCTGACGTCCTGCCCCTCCCTCCTCCCATCGTTCGTCGTCGTCGTCGTCGTCGCCGTTCGTCGTCGTCGTCGTCGCCGTCGCCGTCGCCGTGCCCGTCGTCGTCGTCGTCGTCGTCGTCGTCGTTGTCGTCGTCGTCGTCGTTCGTCGTCGCACGTCGGTCGCCGGTCGTCGTCGTCGTCGTCGTCGTCGTCGTCGTCAGCGTCGTCGTCGTTGGTCGTCGTCGTCCGTCGTTCGTCGTCGGCCGCCCCGCCGGCCGTCGCTGGTCGTCGTCCGCCGTCGTTCGTCGTTCGTCGTTCGTCAACGTGATTGCGTCGGTCATCGGTCATCGTTGGTCGTCGCTGGTCGTCGTCGTCCGCCGTCGTTCGTCGTTGGTCGTTGGTCGCCGTCGTCGGTGGTCGTTGGTCGCCGTCGTCCGCCGTCGCCGTCGTCGGTGGTTGTTGGTCGCCGTCGTCCGCCGTCGCTCGTCGTCGTCGTCGTTGTACGTCGGTCATCGGTCGTCGTTGGTCGTCGCTGGTCGTCGTCGTCCGCCGTCGTTCGTCGTCCAGATTCCCAGCAGCGCAGCACGCCCTGCGCCCTGCGTGCGGACCGCCCGTCGTCGGTGCCGAGGATCTGCGCGAAGAGGCTGCGGGCGACCGGTGCTGCAGGGCCGAGGTGTACGAGTTGGCGGGGGGGAGGCTTCTTGAAACAGAGGAGGAAAAGGTACCCATACCTCGACCCCCCCCTCGTTTTCCCCTTGCTGGGCCTCCTGGGCCTCCGTTGTCACCACCGCTGGATTCGCCTCGAAGTCCTGGTCAGAACGCACCCCAGGAGAGTTCTGGGTAGTGGCGGTATCGGTACCTTTTGGTTTCCTCATTATAGAGAGCCCACAAAAAACGTATGCGCCCAACCACGCACATGAAGATTGCCCCCCAAGTCCGCGAGACCCGCCGCGTGATGCGACCGCTCGCGCAAGGCGCACTCTCGAAACAGACGTCGATTCGTGAAAATGTACGTCCTTCTTGCGCTTCCTGATCTTAGAATGTGGCTGCTTCTTAGAAGGCGCCGGCCCTGTCATAGAGAAGGCCCGCGCCTTCTACGAAGCAGGGGTGCATCCAATGAGCCTCGCGCCGTGCTGGGACGGGCCCGGGGGGGGGGGGGACTGGCGAGGGCCCCCAGGAGGGGCAGGAGACAGAACTCCCGTCATAATGTTTTCACGGCGCAGACGGGGCACGGCGTCGTCTGGGGGTGGCATCCTCGAGGGCCCCCGTCGCGCCACGCCGCCCTACACGAACCCCCCCCTAGGATCGGGTCGGGCGAAAGGGGGGGATAGCAAAGGGGGGGTTTGAGAATCAGCTCATGTAGCTGATTTTCCCGGCGCCTCTGGGGGCCGGAGGCGGCTATGTATCGAGGAACGGGCCCCTCGGTGAGGCCGAAACCAGCTGCATGCAGCAAATTTCGTAACCCCCCCTTTCCCAATCCCCCCCTTTCGTCCGACCCGATAGGAGGCCGCCAGAGGGCCCACAGGAGGCCTCCGGAGGCCCCCGGGGCAGGCCTCGGCAGGCTCCCGCCACGCCTGCCCGAAGAGCGCAAGAGAGGATCCCGTGGCGTGCCAAAGGGACCTTCCGGATGGCCCCCGGGGCGGCCCAGAGGCCTTCCAGAAGTGAAGGGGCCCCAGGACACACAAATAAATACACACAAATAAAATGTTTACCTATATTTTCCCATATTTTCTGGGTATTTGTCTCCCCGCCCAATTCTTTTTTTTCCCATATTTTCTGGGGGATCGACGATTAATTGTGTCTGTGTGTTTCCTTCCCTCCTGAAGAAGGGGAGCCACACGGCCGTGCCTGCGCGGCCGCTCCGCTGCGGCATCCGTCGCGAACTGGAGGCTCGCACTGAGAGAAAGGAGGCTGGAGAGGGAAGATTGCTTGCGGGTGAAGAGGGCAGCTTCGATGGAGCGGGGTAGTTCCTTGGCTCCTCGATGAGCACACGTCCCATAGGCGATAAGCCGCCCAACTACAACAACCGCCACTCTGTGGCGGCATCCAACATTCATGTTCCGCGTCGTCGTAGCCATCGCACCTCACCCCTGCGCACCTCCGCTGCTAATGATGAGAAGCACGCCGCGCGGTCTGAAGTGGCACTCCATGCACTGGCAGCGGCTTGTTTATTCGAGCTTGTATGCGAAGAGGAGGGAAAACGCGACATTGAGAAAGCGTAACAACCTAACAATCGCCCCATTGATGATTTCGTTTAGGTATGTATGCTCTTGTGCCTTGAACTATTGCCCCAGCGTGCACGCGCTGGCGGCAGCGCTTACGGCCTAGCCTGTAACAAGAAAGGGCGCATCTTCCCGGCGCATCGGCTGCAATGTGCAGAAAGAATTTCGAACAAAAGCCATGGACCACAACATCTTGCGTGGAGGTGCATTGAAGGCAGCCACTGGTTCCCCAGTGCTTCGCGGAGGAAACAAACTTCACGCGCAAGGTAGAGAAAACGACAGAGGGCAACAACCTGGGGGAGGGCGGGGGACGGGAAGGAGAAAGACAGTACTATAAATGATATAGCTGCCACTGGTATCATACCACTGCGTCTCTGCGGGTGGTCTATGACGACAGAAGAGGAGGTAAGATTACCAGCGTGGATTTGGTTTGCATGCGAACCTGGTCGCATAATTGTGGCACTGTCCAGGGCCCGAAATGGCCGTGACCCCAAAGAGCCAATGCTCGAAACAACCCACTCAAGCAACGCCAGGACATGACACCACGAGATTCCGCCGCCCAACGGCACAATAATTGTATCGCAAACCGCCTGCTCAGGAATTAGCTACAAAACAATCCCCTCAGTGGGACGTCCACAACTGGCTAAAACAGTTGCTGAGCCTCCTCTGATGACGTCACGAGGCTTGCCCATGTGGGCATGTCCCCGTGGATTGCTGATCATGCGGCTCCAAGGCCAAATACTAATGAATTCGTGGTTGCTCTCTGTGGATCGGTTTGTCCACATGCGCGTGAATGTACACTCGCGAACTCTACTGAATCATGTTCAGACGGCAAGTGTAGACTTTGAGAAACGACCGCCGGGCGATACAAGCGATCCAACTTACCGCGACGTAACCAACGCAATGATTCATGCCCCACCAACTGCCCCGAACCTAATAGATCGGCCTCCATCGCCGATTCACCAAGATGGGGAATGCGGGTTCTCCGAGTCGATCCGCGCCGCCGAAAAACCGGGACGCGGCGCGGCATCCGGCCCCACGAACTCGGACCCCTTTTCCCGGAGATAAGATCAAACCGAAAGAAGGAACACATCGGACTGGGACATATCGGGGATCATTGGGATCCGGCGGTTCTGGAGGATGCATCGGGCGCAGCGGCGCCCGGCAATACCCGATCATCCCCAGACGCCTGCAGGCGTCGCGCCCCCACCGCAATCTACTGCGTGACGTATTCAATCATGTACATTAAGTGACAAGAGGAGCTGGTCCACGATACGATGGCTGATGACAACTCACACTGCGCCAAAAGTTGCACGAGCTATATGTGAAGCGCGCGCGTTGCGCGACTTCCAGGACAGCAACAGAAGGGCGAAGACTGAGGCCCCAGCCTCGAAGAGGACATGGAGGTGGGGAAGAAGGCAAGAAAAACGACGGAAGACAGGCCGAAACATTGACGCGACAGCAGCAGTGAGACGGTGGAAGGAAGAAGGGGGTCACAACGAAACAGGCAGGATGAGGAGGGAAGGTGCCAATCATTTCCCACTGGCAAGCTGGACAAACAACGCGGCCCGCGCCATGTCGCTGTGGCGCTCTGGAGAACCAGCTACTCATAGCTAATGCAAAAAGCAAGCAAGGCCGAGCTGGCCCGCCAAGTGCTCCGCTTCCTTCCCGCACATTGCAGCACAAGTGCACACGGAGTGGACTTCTAGAGGCCTCCTAGGTGGGATCGGAGGATCGCGCCGCATCGCCGATACATCGCCAATACATCGGCGATGCATCGGCGATGCACTGGCGATGCATCGTCGACGTCGGCGGTGCATCGGCGATGTCGATGTGAAGCAAATCGGGCTGCACATCGAGCCGCGTCGGCGATGCATCGGCGATGCGGCGCGATCCTCCGACCCCATCTACTCGAACCCCATCTGGGAGGCCTAGAACGTCCGAGCGACGGCAGGGCCAGCAAGACGAATCGGATGGGGCGAGGCCGCGACAAGGGGCAGGCAACTGGGGTGGAGCCGGGGCCTCGTCCGGCAGGGCCTTGGCCCCGTCGAAGGAGATGTAGATGCTGACCTCTCTGCGGAAGGGTGCGCGGAGAGCGGAGGATCCCACCAACAGTTTGGGACTGTTAGATCTCAAGAGGAAGGTCCTGATGCATTTGGGGCGCGAGGACGAAAAATGAAACATACTCAAAACATATTCCAAAATTGTCAACAAAAAAAAAACAGACTATTGTTTGACTATTTTTGGATATTCCTCCTGTAGAGGGACGGGCCCGACTTAAGTTTATGTGAATATGTGTTCCCCTCGATACGCAAGGATGCGCGAAGGCCGCTGCCGTGTCGAAGTCTCCGCCCTCGTCGGGCGGACGACTGTACCACTCTCGGCGGCGAACCAAGGCTGCAGTTTGGACGCCTGGAATGGGGACGGACAAAAATTGGCACAATGCCCAACAACAAATGTTGTCCCAAACCAACAGCGGCCGCAGTTGGGCAGGCGGCCTTCTGTCTCAAATGGACACAAGCCGCGGCGGCGCGGACAGCGAGTCCTGCTCAAAATGAACAGGAACAGGAACAGGAAATGGAGGAGGAGGAGGAGAAGGAGGAGGAAAACGAACCAGGGCTGCATGTCGGCCCCAACCTTAAAGTCGGGCCCGTCCCTCTACAGGAGGACTATCCAAAAATAGTCAACTATGTTATGAATATGTTTTGGCCATTTTGGATTCTGTTTTGAGTCTGTTTTTTTTTTCCGTCGAAAGCCCCCCCCGTAGGGAGACACGCCCGATTTTTTCGTAAGTCGGGCGTGTCCCCCTACAGGGGGATTTCCGACGAAAAGCTCAAACAAACAAACTACCAAAATACGCCAAAAGGGTCCACAATAACTCAAACAATAGTCCCCACTCTATGTTTTGACTATTTTTGAATATCCCCCCTGTAGAGGGACGGCCCCGACTTAAACTTTGTCTTGCTTTGCCAGGAGGGCCTCCCCGCCGCGGGGCCCGCGGCCCCGCCTGCCCCAGGAGGCGCCGGGAAGCCAATCAACGGGTCGGCGCGGCGTTCGGCGTGCATCGGTGAAGGGGCCCTGGGACACGCAGATCGATAGTCACAAATAACAGGATCCCCGATATCCTCCCACAATTTCTGGGTTCTTGTCTCCCCCCCGCACTTCTCATACCTCCCCATATTTTCTGGGTTCTTGTCTTCCCCCCCACTGCCCATAGCTTCCCACTCTCTCCTGGGGGTCGACGATTCATTGTGTCTGTGTTCTTTCCCCTCCTGAATCGGATCGGCGGACATCGGCAGCCACGCCGGGAGAAGTCGCATCGGCAGACAAATCGGCAGGCCAATGGGCCTCCCATTGGGGGATCGGGATCCCAATATCGGAATCCGCAATCGAACCGGATCGGGAATCGGAGGCCATCGAAATCGCATCGAATCGAACCGGAGGAATCGAAATGAGTCCCTCTTCCCCGGGGGGCCACGGAAGTCCCTCAGGGATCTGCTGACCCGGATCAATCCAGACTCGGGCCAGCCAGGCCTTGCAGCATCCTGCAGGATCATGCACCCAAACCCAGGCCAATATGCGAGAAACCCTGCAAGATCCTGCAGGATCCTGCACCCAGACCCAGGTCAGTACGACCCTGGCCCTGCAGGATCCTGCAAGATCCAGCGCTCTGGCTGACCAACGTCTGCCTTGACACCCGTCTCCCGAGTCAGGTCGGGCATGTCCTCCTGCAGGCGGAGACTGGACGAAAAAACAAACAACATTCAAAATATTTCTTCTTTAAACTGGCCATCGCTCGGACGTCCATTCTCTGTGTTTTTGTTGTCGATTTCGTGCGTGGCTTGTTCGCCAAATGATCAAGGATGCTCCCCGATGGTCCTCGCCGAAGGAAGATTGCACACGTCCAAGCCATGCCAAGTAAAAAGGGAACAAACAAAATCGTGCCCCGACTTATTTTTTTGATTATGTCTGAGTAGTCCCCGTCTGGCGCTCTGGCTGACCCCCGCTCGCCATCGACCCCCAGTGAAGGGGCCCTGGGGCACAAACATGAATACACACAAATAATAACAGGATCCCGCACATGCTCTATGTTTGTCCTGGGTTTCCGCCTTCCCCCCCCCACTTCCCATAATTCCCTATATGTTCTGGGGAGTCGACGATTACTTGTGTCTTTGTGTTTTTGGACTATGTTTGAGTACTCCCCGTCTGGCACTCTGGCTGACCCCCGCGGCGAGCTCAGGCCTGGCCCGACGCTGCACCCCTTGGACGCGGAAACCTGGGCCCCAGTTTCCCTCCTCCCCCTCCTCCTCCCCCTCCTCCTCCTCCTCCCTCCTCCTCCTCCTCCTCCCCTCCTCCTCCTCCTCCTCCTCCCCCTCCTCCTCCTCCTCCTCCTCCTCCTCCCCCTCCTCCTCCTCCTCCTCCCCCTCCTCCTCCTCCTCCCCTCCCCCCCCTCCTCCTCTCCCTCCCCTCCTCCTCCTCCTCCTCCTCCTCCTCCTCCTCCTCCTCCTCCCACTCCTCCCTCCTCCTCCTCCCCCTCCCCCTCCTCCTCCTCCTCCTCCTCCTCCTCCTCCTCCTCCTCCTCCTCCCCCTCCCCCTCCCCCTCCTCCTCCTCCTCCCCCTCCCCTCCTCCTCCTCCTCCTCCTCCTCCTCCTCCTCCTCCTCCTCCTCCTCCTCCTCCTCCATCGACCCCCTCCTGATCTCGGGCCTCGAGCCCCCACCCTCTCTCCCCAGAGCCGGCGCGCCGCCCCCCGCCTCGCAGCGCCCACTCCAAGGGGGGGCGGGCGGGGGGGGGGGGGAAGCGCGAGAGCGAAGGCCCCCCTCGGGAGGCGGCGGGGCCCCCCAGAAGCCCTCCGGCCTTCGGAGAGGCCTCCCAGACGAGCGCGCTCCACTCCTCGCAAAGTGACTGCTTGCCGTCGCTCGCACTTCCATTTCCCGTGCATGCTTCGGATTCGCGCGTGTTCTTTTTTGCTCGATGGCCCAGGATGGTCCTCGAGGGTCCTCGCCGAAGAGAAAAGCACACGTCCGAGCGATGCCAAGTCGGGAGGCGGCAGGCCCCTCAGAAGCCCTCCGGCCTTCGGAGAGGCCTCCCAGACGAGCGCGCCCCACTCATCGCAGAGTAGCTGCTCGCCCATGGCCTGGATCCCCCGCGGGGGATCTGCCAGAAATGACAGCAGAGCAGACAGATGTTTTTTTGTTCGGACGCTTGCGAGGAGGCACTTTTGCGAGCAGCGGAACGCGCTCGGTGACCTTCCGTGCCTTCGGGGAAGGCTTAGAAGACTCCTCGGAAGAGAAGGAGGAGGAGGTGGAGGAAGGAGGGAGGAGGAAGGAGGGAGGAGCCGTCCAAATCGGGAGGAGGAAGAGGAGGAGGAGGAGGAGGAGGAGGAGGAGGAGGAGGAGGAGGAGGAGGAGGGAGGAGGGACCTTCCGCGCCTTCGGGGACGGCTCAGAAGTCTCCTCGGGCGGCCGGTGGACCTGCCGTGCCTTCTGGAAAGGGCCCGCCCCCTCGCGCCTGTCCCCCCCCCCCCCCCCTCTGGGCTGGCCGCCGGCGTCGGAGTCCCGTCGGCTGGCCACTGTTCCTTAAGAGCCAGCCACAAGGGCTCCTAAGTTCGCGCTTCGCGCTGCGCGAAGCGCGAATAACTTCGCGCTCTCGCGCCGCCCTGCCAAAGGGAGAATAGGAGGACGAGGAGGAGGGGGAGAAGGAACGAGGACCGCGAAGCGCGAAACGCGAATAACTTCGCGCCCTCGGGGGAGCCCTTGCTCAGCCATCTGGACTGCGGCTGGGGAGGAGGGAGAGGTGGGCGGGGGGGGCGGGAGCGGGGAGGAGGGCCACGGGGAGGAGAGGGGGCGAATTGCGAGGAGAGCCCTGGAGGCCTCGCGGGGCACCTCGAGGCCCGATCTGCGTCGGATCCACGTCGGACTCATGTCGGATCTGCGTCGGGCTTGCGTCAGAAGATCGCCGCGCGAACGTCGTCAGGACGCGTGGACTACATGATACAACTATTACGCGCCGCGGGATGCCTCCAATATTTCCCTCATAGGATGACGGGTAACGGATCAGCTCAAGGGGGGGGGGAACATCGACCTGGAATCGGTAACACATCGCCGACGGATCGGCGATAGCACGCTCCCGGGCGAGGTGAACTATCAGGCCCCTATCGACGACTCATGGGCTATTGGGGGAACCCGTCCTGGACCCTAGTGCCTTCCCCCAGCACGAGTTGTTCATCCTGAGCCGTTTTCTTGCAGTCCAAGGGTCCGTGGAGGGCCCCGGGAGCCCGAAGACGGAGCAAAAACCTCGGGTCCCAGGGGCAGGTGGGGGGCCCCGGGAGCCCGACCACGGGGAAGAGCCTCCGGACCCGCCTCCCTCAGCGCACACACGGCGACGGCCGTAGGTCACTCGACTTTCGCGCCGCGCGCCTCGCGATGCCTCCCCCCCGCGCCCGTCCCAGGAGGAACCCAGAACCGAACCGACAAGTCGGATCGGCGATCGAAATGCATCGGATCGGGGAAGCACAATCGGCAGCCACGCCGGGAGAAGTCGCATCGGCAGAAAAATCGGCCGGCCAGGGGGCCTCCCATTGGGGAATCAGGATCCCAATGTCGGAAGCCGAAGTCGAATCGAATCGAAATCGGAGGCCATCGAGATCGAATCGAACCGGAGGAATCGGAATGAGCCCTGCTGGCCCCCCGCAGAGCTGCCCCCGACGGGGAGAGGTCGGGGCGAGGAGCAGGCAAGCACACGCCGACGGCGAATGCAAAGCGCGGGCTCCCTCATGCGTACCTTTGAATGCAAGCCAGAAGGTCGATGGCGACATTGGTAGCAGCCATACCATGCCCTCCCACTCCTCCGCCGCGTCTTCGGAAAGTATCTGCCTCGACGCGCTCGCACATGAGACCCATAATTGAATGCAGGTAAGCAACAAAATGACAGCGGCAACAGAAACCCAAAAACACTGATACTATCTGCTAGTCGGCCGCCCTGCGGTTGATCGTTTTTTTTTTATAATATATATATATATATATATATATATATATGCATCTACAAGACGGGGCGTGTGAAATGTGGGCGAC